AACTCGGCACCCAAGCAAGCTCCGGCGCCAAAATTTTGCTGGTGGGTTCCCCGGCCAAGTGCCATCCCAGCACCGGGATATCATTCTTCACGCAAATCTGGGCCCCGCGTACGAAGGGGTGAAGGTTTTGGCGGAAAAATCGCTAACTCGAGAACCAGAAAAACTTGAAAGCTGAAATTTTGAGGATATATCCCCCGTCTCTATGGAACTCAAAAATTTCAAATTCAGCCCTCAGGCGTACGTGGTTCCCGCGTTTGGCCCCGCAAGGGTTCCTGGCGCGAAAATGGCTAGCTCAGGAACCAGGAAAGTTGGGAGGCTGGAATTTTCAGGGAATGTTCACAGCAGATGTACAACTTAAATTTAACAAAATCAGTCCCCAGGTAATCGGGATTAGCACGTACGGCCCAGTAAATTTTTTTGGCGCGAAAATGGCTAACTCAGAAACCAAGGAAGCTGGAAGGCTGAAATTTTCAGAGAATGTTCCCAGCTCAAGTACAATTTAAATTTATCACATCCAGCCTCTAAGTGCAAGTAGTTTTCACGTAAGACCCCGTAAAAGTTTTTATCACAGAAATGGATAACTTGGGAACCAGAAAGGCCCGAAGGCTGAAATGTTCCCAACCCGTGTACAGCTTAATTTATCAAATTCGGACTCCCGGGCATACGTGGTTGTCACGTGCGCCTCGTGAATATTTTTGGCAGGAAAATTGCTAACTCAAGAAGAAAATTTGGAAAGCTGAAATTCCAACGAAATATTCCCTGTCCAACCACCGCGTGGACAGTTACCTTCTCAGCCTTCGAGGACCAGTATATCACACATTTCTAGCTACTCGATTTTCGAGCGATTTCATTACGGTGTGAAATATTGCAAAAACGCATGATCGCACGGGTCAGCCCAGTGCGCGTCGCCGATGATTTGCATGAAGCTCGGTCTTTTTGCTGATAAATGCTTGTTCTTCGTAAAAATGCAAATTTTTAGTTCACTAGAAAGTAGAAATACTGCTAGAGCGGTCGTTCGTCAGAAAATCCGATTATGCAGATGAATTGGATGTTCATTTATGACCTCCTCCATATTTGGATGGGGAAGGTCGTTCGCTGCAAAATGTACTCGTTTCTGATTTTTCAGTGAATTTGAGTATTTCTCGTAACCACCTGCAGTAAGTTTCACTTCCAAGCAGAACTAAGACCGCGTTTGAAAGTAGAATATTCCACTGAAATTTCAGCTCTTTAAAGTGCCCTAAGTCATGGCTCATTTGCAAATCAGAACTCAAATTAGGTATACGATTACCCATATGAGCAACAAAATGCTGACAAAATTCCAGCCACTGCTTTCCGGCAAGTTTTCGAGTTAACACAATACCAAATTGCAAACTTTGATGTGATCGTACGCGCTGCACAAGCGTGCTGGACAGCTGAATTTAAAATTTTTAGCTCGCACATGCACATAGAATATCCTTGCAAAGTTTCAGATTCGTATCTTACCTGCTTCGCGAAATCGTTTCCCGTCAAAAAAATTTGCATATTTTTTTCGGGGTCTGTAGGCGGGGTGTAGATGCATATGAGCGAAAATTTTAAAACGGGAGGATGAAGCACGGGGTAGGAACATATGCCTAAAATTTCAGTCTCCTAGCTTTTCCAATTGCTGAGATGAAAGTGGATGACGAAGCTCATTCGTTTTCGAGCCACACACACACACATATAGACGACCTCTCCACAATATGCGTTTTTGCTGGCTGTGGCAGCACTGCACATCGAAAATGCATAATGTTCCATAAAACTATAGTTGTCTGTCTTTTGCCCTTTAGAAAAGCTCGATTTGCCAGCCCTGAAATAATTTTTAAAATAAGCAGACCGATAATGGAAATTTGAACCGATACTGTAAATTGATTTGTAAACCAATACCATTCACGGGTGACTCGCTTCCAGGCCAAAAATAAGTAGCTGACTTGAGCCCGTATTTCTGCACAGTGTTCCAGATCTGCATATTCAGTTTTTTTAAACACTAGCTATATTTTTCAGCAGAAAAACCCAAATTCACCATAAAAAATCCAAGAAAGTGGGCTCTTATAATTTTAATTGCTTTTAAAAAATTGATATTTTTTAATTGTTGGCGAAAGTTTGGATGCTTGAATCAAAGTATAAAATGAATGAATTTACCGGTTCGCCAAGGTACCAACCGGTTCTATTTGTTTTCGTTTGAAAATATTCCTGAAACATAATCATTATTCAGAAGTCATTAGTCCGCAGAAAAATTATCCGCATAAATAAAAATTTTTGTGAGAGTAAGAAAAACCTTGAATGAGAAATCGTAGAAGTAGTTGTCGATGATTCCATTCCACGGTGGATAAAGTCCTGTTGCAATCGTATAATGATTGGGGAACGTCTTTGATGGAAATGTTGGTATCATAAACTTGCTGTGTGTGCCGCAGTGAAACAGCCGTTGAATAGCCGGAGTAATATTTTCCGATAAATAGCTGTCCCGGAATCCATCCGTACTGATGATCAGCAGCGGAGGCACAGCGAAGCTGGCAAAATCAAAAACTACTTGGCAAGTCAAATAAATAACTGAGTACACCAGGGTAACCGGTACGTTAATGCATTTTGTGTTGTTTGAGCAGCGGACGTTTGCCTCCTAAGGATTATCACTGTTTTACACTTTGGTCTGTAAAAAATAGTTGGTGCTTTGCTAGGATCCTAAGCTACGAAGTGCCCCACTACAAATTTCACGTGTGAATGTACCGTGAAAGCGAAATTTGAATCCTTGGCAGGTGAACATTGCCCCAAAACTTCAGTGTCCCAGTTATCTGGCTTCCGAATAATTATCGAGCCAAAAATTTCAGGTGCCGTACGTGACAACTCGTAGTACTTGAGAGCTAAGTTTGAGCCTGCTAGGCCCCTGCATAAGCAGAAAACGTTCTGCTGGAGTTTCCAGATTCCTAACTCTTTTCACATTCAAAATAGCAATTTTCACCACCGAAACTTCCACAGGGCCATTACCAGTACCTGGCAAACGGGAATGATGGAATTTAAATTTGCGGTGCTACACATATGCATGGGGCATTACCCTAAAATTTAAACGCCATCGCTTTCGTGATTTTCCAGAAGCAATTTTTCCCGCCAAAACTTTCGCCGGACCCCACGTGGCACCTGGGGAACAAACAGGATGAATTTAAATGTGAGGAGTCACACGTGGGCGGGGAACATCCTAATAAAATTTCAGCTTCCTAGCTTCTCTGGTTCCCGAGTTGAAACTCCCGGATAAAATGTACTCGAAACACACACAAACACATACATAGACACACATACACAAGCAGGGTCTCAACAATATACGCTTTATGCAACAGCTGCAAAAACGCGTAGAACGTACGCAAATAGGTTTTTTTTTTTCATGGATGGTACAGATTCGAATCAGATGGATGCAAATACATCTAGTCCAGATAAGTTGAGCAAAACGTTCCCGAAAAATGTTCAAAAGTTGGTACAACTAATTTCCTACCTATTCCATCCTTCACGCCGATGCAGCTGAGGATTTGTTTATCCGATCAGGGCGAGCCATGGTCTGATCAGTGTAGAGGTGCATTTAATAACAACAGTGGCAAAACAGAATACAAACCCAGGCTGGGAAGCACCAGGCTTGCCGGTGTAGTCATGCGTTTTTGTACTAAACTGGCGGGTCGTTAATAGTACGAATAATCCCTGCGCTACAGCCAAACACTTGGGCTCACTTTGTTCACGCTTTGGTTTCTTCTGGCATGTAGCAGAATCGGTATCAGTTGGGATGAGGATGTTGCGTTATAGAGTTATAGAGCCGCATGGAACTGCAGGTACATGATTACCAGTTTTTTACATGAAGCTCGATCGTTTTTCGGTAAATGCTAGCTTTTTGAGAAAGTGAAAATGCATATTTTCAAAAAGTATTGCTTGAGCGGTCGCTTGTGAAAAAATCCAAGTATGCAAATAAACTAGTGTTCATTTACAAATTTGGATGAGGGCGGCCATTCGCTGCAAAACGCACTCTTTTCTGATTTTTTGATAAAGTTGAGTATTTCTCACGCCTACCTGGAGGAAATTCGACCTCCAAGCGGATTTAAGACCGCATTTGAAAGTAGAACATCCCAGCGAATTTTCAGCCTCGTAGTTTTTCTGACAAGCGAAATATCCATTTCGCTACAAATATCTTTGAAGTGCCCTAAGTTGTGACGCAAGTACAAGTCGGCGCTCATTTCAGGTATAATATTTCCTATATGGGAGACAACCATCCTGACAAAATTTCAGCCACTGTTTTCCAACAAGTTTTAGAGTTAGCGCCGTACCAAGTCGCATAGTTTGACTTGGTCGTACGTGCTGCACAAGCGTGCGCGGCAGCTGAGTTTGAAAACTAGCTCGCACATACACGAGAATATCAAAGTTTCAGCTTTGTACCTTGCCTGGTTCACGAAATCATTCCCCGTCAAAGAAATATGCGTATTTTTTGGTGGGTCCGTACGCGGAGTTTAGGCGCATGTGGGGGAAGATGTTAAAAAGGGAGGGTAACAGACGGGGTAGGAACATATCCCTGAAATTTCAGCCTCGCAGCTTTCTTGGTTGCTGAGATCAAAGTCCTCTTAAAATTTCAGCCCTCCGGCTTTTCTGGTAACAGACTTAACAAATTTCCTCGCAAAATCTTTCCCGTGCCAATATGTGAGAACTGCAAACGCCTAGGAGCTGAATTCGAAATCTTCAGGTCATGCAAGCACAGAGAATATCTCTGCAAAGTTTCAACTCTCTATCTTTGGTTCCTGAGGTCACTTTCCAGTCAAAAAATTTGCATATTTTTTTAAGGCATTCGCACGGACCCAGGCACACAGGTTATGATATTAAAACGTGAGAGTCACGCATGGTGTGGGTGTAGTGCGTCCGCAACAACTTGCCAGCAATTTTCAACTCGGAAACCACATAAGCTGGGAAACTGAAAATTTAGGCGAATGATTTTTCCATTGTAAAGTCCGACGATTCCGACGCCAAGATGTGCGATGATTCCGGTGCCCTGTCTGTACTTGTATGTGTGTGTATTTTTGTGTGTGTGTGTGTGTTCGTCTGTCCGGGTGTTTCAACTTGGCAACCAGGAAAGCCCCAGCGCCAAAGTTTTGTTAGTGGGTCCTCGGCCTTGCCACCCCAGTACGGCGGCATCAACCCTCACGCAAGTGTGGGCCCCACGTACAAGAGGGAGGAAGTTCTGGCGGGAAAATTGCTAACTCGGGAACGAGGAAAGAAAGACAATTGGCCAACGCACGGGCTGACCGTGCGAAGATGCGTTTTTTGCATGGTTCCCCGCAGTTTTTGT